AACACAAAACAAAATGGCTTCTGAATGGAGTCAACTGTAAAACTTATAAAAAATTCAAACCAAGATACAATTAGAGCATTCCTTTTGGGATTAGGCCTGTGCTCAGTGGCAGAGCATATTGGCTAAAAGGTATGAGGCTTTAGGTTTGATCCCCAGTGCTCCAACAAAGAAACATACACAGCATTCCTTTTGACAATGATAGAATAAGCATATATGAACAAAATCATATATATGTATATAATGTATATACATACACACATATATGTCTTTTGAGAAAAGGAAGAGCTTGAGTAAAAAAGTCAAGTATTAGTGACAATCTAACTCAATCCTGGCTCTAATTCTTCACAGAAAACATTCCAGAATTCTCTACTCAAGACACTGTTTAACTTTCATCTTCTCTGTACTGCCACCATTATAAGCAGATACACGTTCAACTATTAGATCATGGCTTTCTGTGTGTCACATGAAAAAAAGACATGTTTGTACTAACACCTGTGACACCTCATCTTAAGGTCTTAACTGGGGAAACAATCATTCAGAGCCGTAACTCTCAACTGGGCCAGTTCTGTCAGGGATATTTGTCAATATGTGGAGACATGGTTGATTGTCACAAATGAGAGGAAGCAATGTTACTGGCATCTAGGTAGTAAAGCCACCGATGCAGATAAATATCCTATAAAGCACAGAGCCATCCTCTGCAACGGAGTTACGTGAACCCAAATATCAAACATCAGTGCCAAGGCTGAGAAACCCTAATTTGGCAAAATGTCCAAAAGCACACTATACTCAGCCTGGCACTGCAGTGCACGCCTGTAATTCCAGCACTCACGAGACTGAGGCAGGAGTATTACCGTGAGTTCAAGGTCAGCTTGGGCGACATAGTGAACTCAAGGCCAGCCTGAACAACATAGTGACACACTGACTAAACAAAAAAAGCTTATTATATTAGAAAAGGTTTCCAAAAATGTCCTTAACTTAGTGAATTCAAGGCCAGCCTGAACAACACAGTGACACACTGACTCAACAAAAAAAGCTTATTATATTAGAAAAGGTTTCCAAAAATGCCCTTAACTTTTCTGTACATTCAACTACCAAAAACATGACAGTGGTTTCATTTCTGGATCTGAAATTCTGTCTTCACGTCACTTTACAAAGCACGTGTATAACTTTAACACAGCTTCTTTCACAAGATAAATGATTCAAAAGTGCCACGCTGGGCTTGACTCTAGTCATTTTACAATCAATCCAGTATTATCTCTGGATAAACAGACTATTTTATACTACTGAGAAGCTCAGCAAAGGATGAACATTAACACATAAAGCTATCCATAGCTCTTGGGGAGAAGCAAGGCATTTTAAAGGCAAGCACAAGCCAGTAAGATAGGGGTCCCATCTTACCAGCAGTCTTGGTTCCTGTGGGTTGTTTTTAGGGTTTTGGGGAGTGGGGGTAGTACTGAGAACTGAATCAAGGGAGTGCTGAGCTATATGCTATATCCCCATCTCCTTTTAACATTTGCAGACTGGGTGTCACTAAGTTGTCCAGGCTGGCCTCAAACTTATTCTCCTGCCTCATCATCTTTTTTCATTTTTATTGAGACAGTCTCACTATATAGCCCAGGCTGGCCTCAAACTTGCAGCAATCCTCCTCTCTCAGCCTCCCAAGTCAGCCTCTTGAATAGCTGAAGTTACACCATATGCCACTGCATGTGGCTTGGTTCCTGTTTAAAGGCAGTGTAATCATTGCTGCACTTCCTTTTAATCCAACCAAGCAAGAGTAATGTCATCAGCACATCAGTGAATCTGTTGTGAACTCTTATCCACACATGGAACATAATCTCTGAAAGTCCTACTGAGAAGCAGAGTCAAACGATACAAAGGCTAAAGATAAGGGCCTAGCCTTGCAGCTCAGTCACAAATGTGCATGGTTCTCCTATAGATCGAACTATAGAAGACAGTGGGCGCTTCAAGGCAGTAAATAAAAAAGGGTGCAGTGGTATAACCTTGTAGTCCCAGTTACTTGAGAAGGATCACTTAAGCCAGGAAGGAGTTGAGGGCCAGTTTGAGCAACACAGGGAGATCCTGTCTCAAAAACCAAAGAAAAATACTTTTCTGACCAGAAACTTATGAACCTTTTGTCTGGGTCTTTCCAACCTCTACATATCACTGACGTCAAAATGGTCAGTAGAGTACACCTAAATTAATTATCTGATTTTAGACATGAGAAATCTGAGAGAAACATAGAAATCAGACTTGCTTATGTCAGGCCTAAAACCCATACCTCTAGAATTCTGGTTGAGTACTTTTCCCTTACCACATTACCTCTGCTAAGAATTGATGCAGAAAAACTGTCACAGAATTTTCTGGACACAAATCTGATAGAAGTAAAAGTAATAATGAAGCTGCCTCTCAGTCTTAGGTGAAGGGATCTCAATTTTCCCCACTTTTTTGGAAATAACAGATAATTCTGTTGTTACGTAGCTCCTCTCCTACCTCCTTCCTTTGTAGAAGGGCTTAAATAAAAATTTAAAGTACATCTAGCATGCTCAAGACCCTGGGTTCAATCCCTGGTGTTACAAAATAATAGCAGCAATAAAGAAAGAAAAAAAAAAGAGTTTCAATTAAAACCAGGCAAAGTACCCTACAAACAACCCCAGAGAGCCTATTTGAAGAATGCCATGGATCTGGCAAATTATTTTTCATCATCTTAATTACAAAACGAAGTTCTAAAAAATGTAAGTAGGTCAGTCTAGTAAAATTTAAAGTTCTCTTAATAACCCTGAATATCCTAGAATTGTCTCCATGATATAATTTTTACTGATAAGAAGCTTTTACTGGTTGAGACTACACCTTAGGCATCTTCCATATTCCTGTTTTATAGATGAGAAAACAAAGGCTTAACGAGGCTACATAGGGACTGGGGATGTAGCTCTGAGGCAGAGGGCTTGCCTAGTATATGTAAGGGTTCAATCTCAAGCACCAAAAAAACACCAAAACAACATCATCAACAAAAAACAAACAAGGTTAAGTAACTAGCTTGAGGCCACACAAATAGAAAATGACAGAGCTAAGCTTGACCTCATGTCTGGTTCCTGATTTGTCACTATTTTGCTGTACTATTTCCAGTGATACTGCCTAAAACCTACCATATATCCAGGGGAAATTCACTGATTACAACATTACTGCACTTCAGAGGTCGCTAGTATGACCTCTGATATCCATTAAGTGAGTACCTTTCCCAAATCACAGACCCAGTTACTTCTGCCAAAGGAACCAGACCAGGTACCCTACCACCTGGCAGCTCTTCTTCTCAGCCTGCCCAGAAAAGATGGAAGACAAACCTTCAAGATGCATAGAAGTCCAACCTTTATTCTTGTAAGAGTAAGGAACATTAAGGCTGATGCTTATTTAAGAACTATAAACTGAATAACTAGGTATTAACTATGCTGGTAGGGCATCTGCTAACAGTTTACATACAAATAGAGTTTTGAACATGAAAGAAAGTAAGTTACAGATGAAGTTATAATGAAAAAATTCATACTAAATACACATAGTAAAGGTAAAATTCAAGACAGGCATGGTGATGCATGCCTGTAATTCCAGCACTCCAGAGGCTGAGGCAGGAAGATATACCTGAGTCTAGACCAGCCTGGGTTACACAGTGAGTTCAAGCCTAGGCCTAAACCAAGACCCCTTCTCAAAAAAAAGTAAGTGTGTGTGTGTGTGTGTGTGTGTGTGGTTTCCACCCAGGCATAGTACTCAACTGCCTGCTAGTAAAGTCCACATTCATATGGTTTCTATCTCTATCACATATTTATGTCCTTGACTTTGTTGTAACTAAGTAACAATTTTACTTACTGTATCCAAGTATTGTCATATTCCTGTCTTAATGAATGCTTTTGTAGAATTTTTTTTTATAATTTTTCAAGTTTAAGTAATTTCAACTCTGGCCTCTCAATAAGCTTCCCTGAATATGCATGTAGAGAGCTTACAAAATCATTTAGCAAAGGTTAAAAACTGAGAGAGAGAAGCCATGTCAGCAGTTATGAAATTTTCTATAAATGGGACCTTCAAATAGTTGCACATTTAATAAAATGAAAAGGAACAAAATTCCAGTTTTATAAAGAAATTAAACTACAACAAATGAGAAAAACCAGGTTTTATAATATATTATTGCAAGCATTAAATTCTTAGGAATTTACACTCCAAAACTGTAAGTTAATAAATTTTAAAGCCAGGTGTGGTGGCGCACGCCTCTAATCCCAGTACTCAGGAGGCTGAGGCAGGAGGATTGTTGCAAGTTCGAGATCAGCCTGGGCTACAAAGTGAGCTCAAGGCCAGCCTGAACTGCACAGCAAGACTCTGTCTCAAAAAGACCAAAAAGAAAAAAAAAAAATTTTAAAGTCTGTAATGTAAGTTAAATTTACTATGATACAAGGTGAAAGTCCAATGAAAATTTCCCAATAAAATAGACAAGACTGTGCCAAGTAGCTGGGCATAGAGGTGTATGCCTATAATCCCAGCACATGGGAGGTTGAGGCGGGAGGATTGCTGTGAGTTCAAGGCCAGCCTGGGCTACATATTGAGACCCTGTCTCAAAACAAAAAAACAAAACAAAACCAAAACTGTGCAAGTTTTCTATTCTCTTAAAACTTACTTAGCCAAATCATCCTTATGATCAGTATCTCAAAATGCACTTAACCAAGGCTTATTTTGTGATCTTTTAATTGCTGCAACTCAGAAAGTATTTCTTTTTGTTTGTTTTTTTGAGGCAGGGTTTCACTATGCAGTTCAGGCTGCCCTGAAGTCACTTTGTAGCCCACGCTGGCCTGGAACTCACAGCAATCCTCCTGCCTCAGCCTTCCAAGTGCTGGGATTGTAGAAGTGCGCCACCACGCCCAGCTCACAAAGTATTTAAAAATAAAATTTTAAAAACTCATTACAAACAATCCAGTACACCAATAAAAGGCCTTGGTAATAGAGGAGATATGAAAGACAGGTACCTCATAGTTTGAGAGAAAATCTAGTAAGTCTGATTGAGACGGGATGTAGAGAAGTGGTTTCATCACTCGTCGGACAAACTTCTCAATGTAAACAGCACTCATGGGGCCTTTGTACTCGATTGGTCCAAAACTAGCACCAAAAAAAAAAAAAAAAAGAAAGAAAGAAAGAAAGAAGAAAAATACATCATGCATTCAACCTATAATATATAGCTAAAATAATCAATACCACAGATGAAAGCATCTTGCTTTCCTATCTGAGTGGTCTGGACAACGGTAAGCAGCTTGCTTTGCTCGGGAGATGACTGGAGGGCTAATTAAGAATCAGCATTAGGTAAGGAAAGGTACAAGTGCCTGCTACTCTTCCATGAGCTTAATTCAACTGCAAACTAAATTCTAGGGGCTGGGGATTTAGCTCAGCGGCAAAGCGCCTGCCTGGCAAGCGCAAGGTCGTGAGTTCGGTTCCCGGTACCGGAGAAAAACCAAAAAAATAAAAAAATAAAAAAATAAATTCATTCTAGTTGCTGAAGGAAAAATTAATTCCCACAATATTTCTTCAAAAATAAAAATTGAAAAAGACAGCCCTGGAAACTGACTACATGCTAAAAGATGCCAGGATCTTTTCACAATTCAAGATAGGCAGGTAGAGTCCTTTTATATGTTATTCTGACATAAGAAACAATTAGAGCAGTTGGCCATTGGCCTACTAAAATGTAGTTATTCCCATAGGTACAAGAGATCACTAAATGAACCTTACACCTATTTAAAGCTTTCGTGCAACAGGAAAAAAACAAAAAAAAAACAAAAAAAAACAAACAACTAGGCAGAAATGTGGTCAGGAGCTGTATAAATGACTTTCCTTTCTTTCCTTCCAAATGTACTTGGAGACACAGGAATTTGATCCAGTATTGCTAAGCAATGCTACCACCATTCAGTTTCCTCCTAAATTAATCCTAATTCTCACCCGCTCTCAATCTCACACAACAAATATAATTGGATGGTGGTGGTAGGGTGGGGGAGGTACATAAAATCTGTGAAATTCAGCAATTCCTTAACCATCCTTCTGAAAATAAAACTGACACTGGCTTACTTTTAAAAGCAACATAGAAAAAATAAAATAAATAAAAGCAACATAGGCAGCACAATACTATAATACAAAAATTCACATACACAAATATGATGAAATAATTTTTCAGTGTATACTTCACAGTACAATGCCAAAGGGATACTGGCATGAAAAAGTGAAAACAGTATTTTACATGTACAGCTGGGAGACAGAATTAAGAATTCCATCAATTCAGAGGCTGGGGATTTAGCTCAGTGGCACAGCGCCTGCCTGGCAAGCGCAAGGTCATGAGTTCGACTCCCAGTACCAGAACCGCCCCCCCCAAAAAGAATTCCATCAATTCAACATTTACCACAAATTAATTCAGTTTAAAAACTAACATTTCCATTAATCAACAATTTTTAACTTAAAGGAAAAAAAAAATCAAAAAAGCATCTGATAACTTATTTTGTTTAGTAGAAAGGAGCCAACCAGCCCAGAAATCTCATTTACTCAAGCCAGCAGGCTTTGCTGAGTTTTCCTGGTAGGACTTTGGAAGGTTCCTAAAGACCTATAAAGGCTAACAAGATCCCATAATGCAGGCTGTGGAATATATTCTACCTACGTAGCCATGACTGCAGGATGTGCTGATCTGGTGCAGCCAGTTCTGACCTGGGGTTCTGAAAACCACCTGACTGCTTCAAGCCCTTAAGAAGCTTCCTTTGGACTGGTCAATCCAAACCAAAGAAGCTTATTTTTCCAAAACAGAAAAGCCTATTAGCTTCTTTAAGCAGCTACTATAAAACAAGCCAGTAGAACAAACTCAAACAACAGTGACAAAACATACAATAGCAGTACTCTGCTCAGTAAATGAGACCCAATGAACACATCTGCAAGCACTAATAACCAGAAGAACCTATGCTCTCAAGAGCTGACAGAAACATTCGTGTGTATATGTACAGAAAAGGCCTGGAGGCCTCTATGATAAAATATGAAAAAGCCACCTTTGGGAATTTCTGTGCCTTAAGACTGTTTTAGGCACACTGAGAATGCTGAAATGTGTAGTAAGAAGTCTGAACTGACTTAAACCAGAAAAACTTCAACAGGCAAAGGTGAAGTGTGGTCACTTCAAGATGAGTACCAACCCCGAAGACCTCATCTGTAAACCAAGAGGTTTGGACTAGGTATTTGCAGAGGTCCTTTCAATCTTTTACAAAAGCTAGAGAGAGGGGAACAACACAGGACAATACTGTATCTCAAAATAACATCTGTACTCATTGTAAAGGAATTCTTCCAATTTTAATGTCATCTCAAGTTAAGTCTACCTCTGGGTAGCTTGCAATGACTACAACTCCTGCTAGGCATCTGTGTGCTTTCCAAAGCCGAAGAATAATGCAGGGGCCTCAATAGGCAAGTTTATCATCCCTTACAGAGGAGACTCTTGAACCTTCAAGTATAGCACCTTACGCTTACCTTCAAAAAGAAAAAAGTAGTCCTGAGGCAGGTACTGTGAAGTATTCTTATATTATAAAAAAACTTGTACTTTTACCTTCAAAGTAGAGGTAGAACCACCAAAATTGGGGTGGGAGGGTCCAAATATTTCTGTTTTTTAGGTTTTTTGGGTTTTGGCTTATATCAGGGATTGAAACCAAGAGCACTTTTTCACTCAGCTACATCCCCAACCCTTTTCAAATTTTTTATTTTGTTTTATTTTATTTTATTTTATTTATTTTCATCTTTTTGAGACAGGGTCTCCCCATGCAGTTCAGGCTGGCCTTGAGCTCACTTTGTAGTCCAGGCTGGTCTCGAACTCCAATGATCTTCCTGCCACAGCCTCCAGAGTGCTGGGATTATAGGCATGCACCACTGTGCCCAACTCAAATTTTTTATTTTGAGATAGGGTCTTGTTAAGTTGCCCAACCTGGCTCCAAATTTGAAATCCTCCTGTCTCAGCCTCCCAAGCAGGTGGGATTACAGTTGTGTACTTCCACGTCCATGTCAGAAGTGGTCGTAACAGTCCCTAAGCAAAAACTGATGTGGCTAGAAACTAGGTAGTATACTTTTGGTCCAATACTATCAATTATTCCTGGGAAACAATGTCACAGAGAATTTATATTAGAGATATGGAAATGGGATGGAATGGGACAGAAAATTCACAGCTGACAGGGTATTGATGCTTCCTATAAAACCCTTTGGATTAAGACCCAGGAAGTTCACAGGCAGGGAAAAGGAAGTCTAAAACATAAAGATACTGCTAGTTGTGGTGGCACATGCCTATAATCCAGCACCTGGAGGCTGAGGCAGAAGAATCAACTGAGCTCAAGGCCTATTATATTGAACAGGGGCTGGGGATTTAGCTCAGCGGCAAAAGCGCCTACCTGGCAAGCGCAAGGTCATGAGTTCAGTTCCCGGTACCGGAGAAAAACCTATTATATTGAACAAAACCCAAATTCCATCTGCCTCCAAAAGCCTTCAAGTCAGACTCAGACATGACTTAAAGTCCACAGTAGGGATCTACAGTCTACACAGTACTCCAATACCAAAAACCAATACTTCCACAGCAAAAGAGGTACCGTAAGTGGGATAAATACCATAGGCAGCCTCTTGTCCCCTCAGGTCAGATGAATTCAACTGGAGACAAAATTCATGAAATTTTGCTCTTTCAGTCTATGATTTCAGAATCATGGACTAGTGGGTAAGTTTCTTCTCAACTGAAAAGATTAATCCCAGCACTTGGGAAGCTGAGGCAGGAGGATCGTTGCGAGTTCCAGACTAGCCTGAACTACAAAGTGAGCTCAAGGTCAGCCTGAACTGCATAGCGAGACCCTGTCTCAAAAAGACAAAAAAAAAACCCAACAACACAATGTTGCAGCCGGGCATGGTGGTGCAGGTCTGTAGTCCCATCACTCCAGAAGCTGAGGCAGGAGGATCGTTGCGAGTTCCAGACTAGCCTGAACTACAAAGTGAGCTCAAGGCCAGTCTGAACTGCATAGTGAGACTCTGTCTCAAAAAGACGGGGAAAAACAAACAAACAAAAAAAAACAAAACCAACAATGTTGTAATATACACAATGACATGAAAAGATATTCACAAAAGTGAGAAAAAGCAGTTTAGGAACTAGAATTCCTGCCTGACCCCATCCTTTACTTATAAAAAGGAGACAGACATGTACATCCATAGAAAGAAATAAACCAAAACACATAATTATACATGGCTGATAAATTTATCAAAGTTCTTTTTTGACTTTTTGCTTATCTGTATTTTCTCAATTTTCTAGAGTGAATATTTAATGCTTTTAAATACTAAAGATTCATTTATATGTTGAACTTAACTGAAATCAGGAACACTGCTGAGAAGTCCTTACCTCCGATGATACAGATGTATTACAGGAAAATAAAAGAAGTGTTTCTGTTTTCTGCATTTCCCCTGGTTCCACCAACAGTTAATTGCCACAAACAACACCTGCAGAACCAAAAAAGGTTTTCAAATGACTATGAATAGCAACTGAACAGTTACCAAAATTTAAATGATGACATTATAAAAGTGGAACTAGTCCTCCCTCACTGAAAAAGAGAATATAAAAAAACTGTTTCAAGGGTCATCATGTATTATTTAAAAAAAACACAGAAAATAAAATAAAAACAGATTCTTCTCAATATTTAACTAGCACTTAGACTCTAGCCCAAGAGGAACATTATTTGCTTTGTATTTTTTTTTTTTTTTTTTTTTTTTTTTTTGTTTTTTGGTTTTTCTCTGGTACCGGGAACCGAACTCACGACCTTGCGCTTGCCAGGCAGGCATTTTGCTGCTGAGCTAAATCCCCAGCCCCTGCTTTATATTTTAAAGTGATGCCAGACATAGTGCTATACACCTCTAACCCTAGCACTCTAGGAAGCTGAAGTAGGAGAATGACAACTCTGAACCTAACCTAGATAACTTAATGACTGAGTAGGACCCTGTCTCAAAATTAAAAATAAAAAATGGTTGAGGATATAGCCTAGTGTGAAGGCCCTGGGTTCAATCCCCCCAGTATTCCCCCCAAAAAGGAATTTTAAGGTGAATGAATGCCAAGGAACTTTTTTTTTTTTTTGGTATCAGCAATCGAACTCATGACCTCAGGCTTGCCAGGCAAGCGCTCATGCTGCTGAGCTATATCCCCGGCCCCCAAGGAGCTTTTTCTAAGTATACAAGCTTGCCTACTAAGAGCAAGAAGGACTTAGGTTCAGTCCCCAGTATCACACACATAAAAACCTAACAAAAGAAAGTAATGTAATTCAATTGTCAAACTAAGCATATGAAGATGTTATTGCAGAAAAAATATCATACTGGGTATGGTTGTACAGCCCTGTAATCTCAGCTCTCAGGAAGCTGAGGCTGGAGGATCACAAGTTGAAGCTCAGCTTGGGTAACTTGGCAAAGACTCTGCTTTAAAAAAAAAAAAGGCTAGGGATATAGCTCAGAGGCAGAATGCTTTCACAGCATGCACAAGGCCCTGGGTTTGATCCCCAGCACTAATGTCAAAGGACTATTTTTAATGACTATTTTAGACACTAAAACAGATAATCAGTGGTCGTAAGCCATGATATTACCAACCACTAAAGCATGGAATATAGAGAGTCCACCAAAAAAAAGTATGTATCAGGAAAAGAAAAATCTGTATCAAGGTTTTTATTTTTTTTTTAATTTTATTTTTTTGTTTTTTTTCTGGTAATGGGGATCGAACTCACAACCTTGTGCTTGCCAGGCAGGCAACTGTGCCGCTGAGCTAAATCACCAGCCCCCTGCATAAAGGTTTTAACACAAAATTTACTGAGACAGCATGAGATTAATACGTTACCTTTGGCCTCTACAATTAAAAGAGGTGCTCAAAGTGATGGCCATTAGCTTCCAGACATTTATTACTATGGCAAACAGCTGAAGTGTGTACATCTTTTTGGCAGCTGGTTTCTGTTTCTTTCTTTCTCTCTCTCTCTCT